CGTCACGCACACGGACGTGACTCTCGCTTGTATGCGTACGAGAGCATCGAGGCGATAAGGGTCTCCTCACTTCGATGCTCTCGATGCTGCCTGCACGATCTGGCATCTCTGGCTACGAATGGAGGAAATGGAATAAACGTGATAGCCAAACGTGGTTATTGGGCTGCTAGTTGTGCAGCCCTGCTATACGCTATCTAGTTACGTCTCCTTATTCTTACTTCGTGGCTATCACGCCCGCTGTCATAAAACGATTGCGCATCCTATTTGCGCGGACAAAGAGAGAAAACTTCTCCTCTTTTGCTTCTTTGTCTGTTCTGCCAAGACATGCATGCTGTATCTAAGTATATATGTCTATGATAAAAACCTTTTTAGTGTAGTATCTATACTTCAAGATAAAAAATTTTCTTGTACTGGCGAAGAGTCACTTTTTGTTATGTTATCGGTTATTATAGAAAAACGGTTTATATAACGGTCACAGAAAAACGATTATTATAGAAAAAATAATACAATAAATGCTAATCACAGATTTTTATATTCTAGTGTATGCAAGCTTTATGTTACATAACATTATATCTTTCATTTGTACAGCATTATGTAAAAAATTACAATGTATCATAATTATACTACAATATTTATCATAATTATACTAGTTGTTAGAAATATTTCTTTTCTTATCCGTATAAAAGTATTATTTTAATAGTGATCCCTTATTTCACAAATTGTATGGAAAAATAACAAAATTTAAATACCATTACAAAAAAATTAATTTTCAAATGTAGAGAATTGAAAGGCCAATAGGAGACGAAACATCGATTGTTTGTGTGTAATATAATAAATGATTATAAATTTATTTCAAAGTTAGACGTTTCGATTCTTGTGTTGGATCTTCTTCAGTAACAATTAAATAAGAGTGTATAAACGAAGTTAATATTTTGGACAGTCACATTGATAATAGCTTTGACTTTGTGAGCAACATCGAAAACATTGAACTGCAGCGTGATCACATTCTTTTATCTCTAGATGTAATTTCCCTGTACACGAATGTACTTATCGATCTGGCTCTAAAGAGTATTAAACTGAGATAGAAATTTATTAGAGGCAATACAAAATTTTCATTGAATGAATTTTTAGATGCAGTTGAGTTTGCTCTCTCCTCGACTATTTCTCTTTTGACGGGTAAATATACAAGCAGACTTTTGATGTATCGATGGGCTCACCCTTATCTCCGATTATGGCGGATATTGTTATGCAAGATCTGGAGAAATCGGTATTAAAAAAAGTACCTTTCAATCTTTTTTTTTATTTTAAATATGTGGACGACATAATTTTAACAGCTTCTTCTGACTATTTTGATGTATATATATGTATACATATATATATAATTTATTGGACTTATTTAATAATTATAATGATAGGTTAGGTTACAATTCACCATTGAAACACAAAATAATAACACGTTGAGTTATCTTGATACTTCATTAATTGTTTCTGGAAATAATTTTTAATTCATATCATAAAAAAACTTTTTCCGGGAGATATCTTAATTTCCTCTCTACTCACCCGCTGTCACAAAAAATCGGTACAATTATATGCACGGTTGACAGAGTGATGCTATTATCTCATCCTTGTTTTCATGCCGATAATTTTAAATGTATAATTGAAATTTTGCTTTTAAACAATTAGTCAAACAATTATCGATTTGATATTCAATATTATAAAAAACAGAATTAAACATCTATCCTGCACTAAACTTAATTTAAGTTTGTTGTTCTAAAAAAACGGTAACTAGATCAGTTGGTTCACAACCAAATAAGAATTATTTTGTCGTCCGATATGTTAAAAAATTATCTGACACCATCTCAAAGTATATTGGGAGAGAGAATGACCTAAGTTTGACTTTTAGAAGTTTAAACAAGCTATATAAATAGAAATAAACTAAGAATTATCTCGGGCTCTAAGTCTTTTGAACTAATCAATGAATATAATTGGTCGTGACGAGCCGTTCGCTGGATGTTGTGCGGAAAATATGTCTATATATATATACACATATGTACATATATAAACAAATTCACATTTTCATGTGAGTTTTTGAATTGTAATTTCAATTCTTTTAAATCATATAGGATGCTAGATTTGCATCTCGTATATGAAGGACCCCGGATACCCCCTCAAATTAATTTATAAAAGACCCTTTGGAACTTGATCATAATAAGAATTTAATTTACCGTCTGAAATGTAATAACTGCGAAGCGTCATATGTAGAACAAATGAAAAGGAAACTCAGAACGAAAATCTCGGAGCATAAGAAATCAAATCAATAGAAATACAAATAATATATCTGTAGTAACTCAGCACAGACTCGAGAACGATCATGATTTTGATTGGAAAAATCCGGAGATCCTTGATTCTGAAAAATTTTATTATAAACGTTTGGTGTCTGATATGCTACATATAAAATTACAAAAAATGCAATTAATGTCGGAAACTAAAGCTATATTTCTCATTTCTAGATTTGTATAATAAAAAATAAACTTCTTTCTCCATTATGTTCCCAACGATTACAAATATATTATATATATTCTAAACGATTATTTTTGCGTGTGGGGAAAACTGCTTATATTTACGACCGTTTGTGAAGAATGTACAAACGGTCGTAAATCATCAGTATGTTGTTTTGTATTTAAGCTGTTGATTTTAAACGACTGTTAAGTTTTCCTTTTTATCTTCTTGACAATGAATAAGAAGTTTACTAGTTACTCATACTATTTCTAATTTTTTAACCTTTTTATTTTAAGTGAGCTTGATATACTTCCTGTTTTTAATTTAGTGAGTATTTTATCAATAATTTATTGTACTTAATGAATAAAGCTTTCCTTGATTTTTTGAATCTTATTAAGCAAACCAAAAATACTTTTGTTTATACATTCTTATTTAGTTGTTACTGAAGAAGATCCAACACAAAGATCGAAACGTCTAACTTTGAAATAAATTCATAATCATTCATTATATTACACACAAACAACTGTGTGTTTTGTCTTGTATTGACCTTTTAATTTCTTTACCGAAGTTTTCACGAGCGATTTCAACTTTTCTTTAATTATTAAATGCACTTTAAAGTATATTAAGTTCAGTGAAAAAACTCTTTAAAATATCATAAGTTTTTATATCATCTATATTGAATAATTTTGCAATTATTTCTATTTTTCAGACTTCGAGTGTTGCAAATTAGCCCTGGTATAGAATTCTTAGGCAAAATTCGCTGGGAATTAGCAGGTACATTGCTACTAGTGTGGATACTTTGCTATTTTTGCATCTATAAAGGTGTTAAATGGACCGGCAAAGTAGTCTATGTCACCGCTCTTTTGCCATATTTGTTGCTTTCTATACTTTTATATCGTGGTGTTACGTTACCTGGCGCTATGGAAGGCATTAAATATTATGTTACTCCAAATTTGTCTAAATTGCAAGAGTCTGAGGCAAGTCCGGTTTAAATTATATAGTTTATATATTATAATAATTTATTTTATATTATAATAAGTTATATTATAATAAGTTATAGATATTATATAATGTGTTATAATTTTATATATAAAAGAACGCAACAATATATACAGGTAGGAGCAAAACTAAACACACTTATAAAATTTTAAGATAAATAATATTTTATTCTGATCGGCTTACTGGTCTTGCGGCCTGAATACGGGAGTTGCGAACATTAGTGTCTCGAGTTCGAATTCGTTCTCAACATTGTAGGATTTTTTTCGGGCCGTTTCAATCAAGTTATTCGATTTGAAAGACAAATTGAATTGAGCCTCCAATAATTAATTAATTTATAATTTGAGTTGTAATCTCGAAGTGTCATGCGCACTTTTGGAATTTACCTAACATTTGTAGGTCCATTACACTCTACAATCCGCACTTTGGATGCTATGGGCTAATCACCTGTACATCTGAGATCTAATAATTACTGAAACCTTTACGAATTGTCGGATTGTTTCGTGGAAATTTCGTGAAAACCTATGTTCTACTGAGGAATGACGGGAAAATATTATTATTATTACTATTTTATTCAATGTATGTATGTAAATAAAAAGAACAAAATACGTAGATACGTAGATACGTGTTGTGTAAGATGCCTAGATTTTACAAGAAAAATTTAACGTTTGTGTTATTCTCATTATTTTAGTTTATAGAAAGTTTTTTCGTGTAGTCGATCTTGCACTGCAACTCATTTTGAATAAACATTTAGTTTTTGATACATTTAGTATTTTGTCTACAAACCTTTAACTTTGATAATGATTTAAATATATTTAGGCATACTTAGTACTATATTTTTGCAGTATTCTGACGTAAGAAAATACACTTTTCCTGCACTGTTTGCTACAAAAAAATTATAATCATTGAGAAAGTATTATATTTATATAATGCTAACTTTATTTTTAAATATGCCCATTTTCTGTCGGGTTTAAGTCCGAGCTTTGAGTAGATTAGGTTACTATGATTGAGCCTGCAGCCAATCTTTTACGCTCTTCACACAATGCTTTGACGCATTGTCATGTTAGAATATGATATCACATTCTAGTACTGGCATATTTTTAACTATTTCTAATCAATTTTTTCCTAAAACGTTCTTATAAGTATATTAGTGTACCGTACCTTCGATGTAATAATATACGCCGTACGCCAAATGCGTTTTTTCATACCAAGTGAACCACTGTAAAAGAGTGATTCTAAAAATCGCCCGTTTTAGGGTCCTCAAATTTTAAACTTTAAATAGTGTACTAAATGATAGCTTATGATGAAACATTAATAATAATAATAATAATAATAATAATAATAATAATAATAATAAGATAGGAGCTATTAGAGCCCACCCGCTCCTATCTTTATGTCACCTAGATCTATAAGATCTTCTGTGACTCCGCTAGTTGCTTATCGGCCTGTCTGCTTCAGCCCGGCATTTTCTTCCAGGCTTTGCAGATGGCCGATCTTAATATTTTTCAGGCCTCGGGCTTCAAAAACATGCAGCTCAGGGATCTGAATCTTTTAAGAACTAAAGATGGACAACGACACAGTATATGCTCGCTGTCTTCATTTTCCTCACCGCATAATCTGCAGTTTGTTTTGTCGGCCAATCCCATGTTGTACAAATGTGTCTTAAAAGCCCAGTGTCCAGTAAAAAGACCGATACTTAATCTTAGTCTATTTTTATCCATAGCCAGTTCCTTAGCCCTGCTTGACGATGGCTGACTCATCAGAAGTCTGGCCTGGCGACAGTTTTTCAGTTTCTTCCAGGAGTCCTGGTGCTCTCGCTTCAGCCGATCCCTGATGCAATTTTTCCCCACGGCAAAGAGAACGCCGACTTTTTGGCCAGCTGGTTCCTCTAAGGTGCCCAGCTTTGCCAAGCCGTCCGCTATCTCATTACCGCGGATACCTTGATGGCCGGGTACCCAGACTAGTGTGATCTTGTTATGATCTCCCAGTCTGTTTAGAGCTTGTATGCAGTCCCGAACCACTGACAATTCAGTGATGGTCTTAGCAAGGGCTCCTATAGCGGCTTTACTATCTGTGTAGATATGGATCCTCCTGCTCATTGTCTCTTTTGAGAGCAGGAGTCTTGCACATTCCAGGATAGCCAAGACCTCCGCTTGGAAGACCGTGGCTAACTTATCCAGAGAGAAAAACTTACTGTGATTGTTTTCTGGACAATATATACCTGCTCCAAAGCGGTCGTTTGCTCCAAATCCATTGGTGAATCACGCATCTACGTTCGGTTGGATCTGTAGGTTTTTATTATTCCATTTAGCCCTAGTGGACAGGTTTATAGAAAACACCTTGTTCACTTGATATATTCTATCTTGCTTCAGTGTGAAGGGAAATTTGTGAAGAAACCCGAGCTTGGTATGACTTATCTCGAATTGTCTTCACTCCCCCTTTAGACACTTTAGTCTATATGCTGTGAATGGCGCTGACTATTTGTTGATTTAAAAGAGGAATACAAAGTGCTACTTCCAGCGCCTCTGTTAGTGTGGTTCTCATAGCCTCTGCCGCAGCCCTTAGGTAGTTATCCGATAGGCTTTTTAGCAGGTTCTTTGCCTCCGTCTTTTCTACTCTAGGCCACCAAACCACAGCAGCATATGTTAATCTCGGTAACAATACCGATTTGTATATCCATAGGGCAACATTCAGTTTAATGTCCCAGGACTTTCCCATTACTCTTTTACACGCTCAAAAAAAGACGTAAAATTTGGATCTCGTTATTTCGAGATGTGTCCTCCAGCTCAGTTTGATGTCTAGGTAGACTCCCAGGTATTTAACTGACCGGACGTATTCTATTTCCTTGTGCCAGAATCTTAACGGCTCAAGAATGTTTATAAAACCTGTAAGTTTTGCAAAAAAATATATGAGCTAGAATATCGAGCAATGGAAAAACATATCTAATTTTTTCAGACAAGTTTAACGAGTTAATCAAATTGTATTGGGTGAACTTTTGTGTTGGAAAAAAGGCGAATCCTTTTTGCTGCGTCATATTAAGCAAACAAGTAAAGAGTGATCCTACAAAACGGGATCAAATTTCGCCTGTTTTGGGGTCCTCAAATTTTGAATCAAATATAATAGTACGCTAAATGATAGCTTATGATGAGACATTGATCGCAGAAAAATGTTCGATTGAGTCTATTTTTCGTTTTGGAGATACGCGAGGTCAAAGTTACTAAGTTAAGTGAGAAAAGAGTATCGTGAGATACGTCACAAATAAATCAAAACTGTCTATTGGAACTTACTGATTTTGATAGAACAACTTTGCACGCTTTTAAAATTATGACACATAATCGACATATATATGTTTCTTTATATCAGAAGTGCACTCTAAAGAGTGACAAACTCGAAAATTTTGATTTTGATATAACTTTGCACACATGTGAGGGGGGGGGGTCAGTAGATGAATAGTGACATATTCAGTTGCTGCACATAAACGGTTTTAAGAGATGAAATCATCCCTTATGTGTAAAACCACTTTTCACTTTTCTAAGTTTATCTAAAAAATTATTGGAGATATTAACAATTGTTGTATACAAAACTTTTATAAAAAATATTCTCTACTTAGCCATATTAATAGAATTACAAAAAAATTAATGTTTTTAAACAATTTTATTAATGTTGATAAATAGAGGCATTCCTACCATAAAACTTTTGTATGAAACAGTTTTTGATATCTCTAATAGTTTTCGAGATATATCGAGAAAAACATAAAACCATTTTATACATGATAAGTGTTTTATTCTTTAGAATCGGTTTTAGGCTGCTACTGAAAATTTCTACATTCATGTAGTTATCTGTACATGTGTACAAAGTTTTACCATAAGAACATCTCTATGTAATCGTACATTAATACAATTTTGAAATAAGTTGTTTCCAATATTTAATTTTAGCATTTTTGTATATAAGAAACTATCTTGCGTTATATACTACAATAAAGATAGTAATTTTTGAAATAGAAATGCTTTTATTCTTTGAATATTTCTATGTTGCAATGCAACATAGAACGTGACTTGAGAGATTATTGAGTATATTTATATTGCAGTTTTTATAATGCATATCGTATATGTAATGTAACACGCACGTATCATTCACTTACGTAAGCACAACGCGGAGTAGTTATGTACGTTATGTGAGAATAGTTTGTAATAATTTTCCATAATCAGAAGACTTTGACAAAAGGAAAATTTAAACAAATTAAAATAAAGTAAATAGAATAAAAAAACTTTATATAAAGTAGAAGTATTTTGGCACGTAGTTTTAGTATAAAATGTAGCCATCAAATTTAATAACACAGCCACACAAAAAAAAAAATTTCTTTGGCCTGGGGATCAGACCATGTTTATTATATGTTTTTGGGGTCGCTGAATCCGAATCCGAGGTCCATTAAACCCTATCGGGTCGGGGTTCCGCCATAACCTCAAAAAACACCATA